GCGGGCATGCGGCGCTGCCACCGCGCCCGTCGAGACACGGTGTGGAACCGCGGGCGGCGGGGCTGCGCTTAGGGGCGGCCGGGGCGGGAGCCCCATGTCCGGGGCTCGCCGCGCTCCGCGGGCAGGCGGCGGGGCGATGAGCTGCCGGGGCGAGCGGGCGCGCCTGGCCCCCGGTTTGCCCTGCTCCTTCGCCCGTGGGGAGTGAGGCTCCTCGGAGCCCGCTCGCAGCTCCCGGAAGGGCGGGCGGGCGGGCGGGAGGTGGTGCCGGCGCGGCGATGCTGCAGCCCTCCCCCGGCGCCGACGGGGTCCTGCCGGGGTAGCGGCCCCGCCGTGCCGCGCCGAGCCCCWCCGTCTGCGGGGGCGGCGGCCGCGGAGGGATGGAGCCGACCGGCCCCTGCCGGGCGCAGTTGGGCTCCGCCAACGACTCTTACCGAAACTGTAGCGCCGAGGAAGTGATCTACCAAGATGCCACCCCCCTCTCCGGGAAGATCGTGCTCGCCGTCGTCCTCGCGCTGGTCACCCTGGCCACGGTGCTCTCCAACGCGTTTGTCATCGCCACGGTCTACCAGACGAGGAAACTCCACACGCCGGCCAACTATCTGATCGCCTCGTTGGCCGTCACCGACCTCCTCGTCTCCATCCTTGTCATGCCCATCAGCACCATGTACACTGTGACCGGCAAGTGGACGCTGGGCCAGATCGTCTGCGATATCTGGCTGTCTTCGGACATCACCTGTTGCACGGCGTCCATCCTGCACCTCTGTGTCATCGCCCTGGACCGCTACTGGGCGATCACCGACGCCGTCGAGTACTCCACGAAACGGACTCCCAAGCGGGCAGCGGGCATGATCGCACTGGTGTGGATCTTCTCCATCTGCATCTCCATGCCCCCTTTGTTTTGGCGGCAGGCGAAGGCCGAGGAAGTATCTCACTGTGTGGTGAACACGGACCACGTCCTGTACACCGTGTACTCCACAGTGGGAGCCTTYTATTTCCCCACGCTGCTGCTGATAGCCCTCTACGGGAGGATCTACGTGGAAGCCAGGTCGCGGATTTTGAAGCAGACGCCAAAGAAAGCAGGTAAAAGACTAACGCGGGCTCAGTTAATTACAGACTCCCCGGGGTCGACCTCTTCCGTCACCTCCATAAACTCCAAGGCTCCCGAGGGATCCAGCGAAACGGGCTCCCCCGTGTACATGAACCAGGTGAAGGTGAAGGTCTCGGACGCCCTGCTGGAGAAAAAGAAGCTGACGGCCGCTAGAGAGCGGAAAGCTACAAAGACTTTAGGGATTATTTTAGGAGCCTTCATCGTGTGTTGGCTGCCCTTTTTCATCATCAGCCTGGTGTTGCCTATTTGCAAGGACGCTTGCTGGTTCCACATGGCCATCTTTGACTTTTTCACGTGGCTTGGATATCTCAACTCCCTCATCAACCCCGTCATCTATACTATGTCTAACGAAGACTTCAAACAAGCTTTCCACAAACTCATACGTTTCCGATGCACAGGCTGAAATGTTGAATGCGATGTGTTCCCCGGGGCCGCCCCCATGCACGCCCGCGCCCGGCGCCACAGGTAGGTCGGCGGACCCCGCCCTGCCCGGAGAGCCGCGGTGCTCGGGGCGCGGCGGGCGGGGAGGAAGCGGGGACTCGGAAATGGGGGCGGGGGGGGCTGCCACCCCACCAAGAGCGGCTGTTCAGACCCTTGGCGAGTGGCGGCGAGCGCCGGGAGGGCTGCGCGCTCCTGACAGTGCACAGTGTGTGTGTGCGCGCGTCGCGTGTGCCCCCCCAAACCCCCCCGCTTTCGCAGGGAGTGACTCACGGCAATCTGCCTTTTATTCCCCCTATTAAACCAATCTGCCGCCATTTCGTATGCTAATGCCCGTGTTTCGGCCAATTTAGTGCTAAACGGCACTTGCTTTSCGAGCCCTCAGCCGAGCTCCCCGGAGAGCGCTGGGGCCGGGCCGCTCCCCCCCGCCCGCGGCGGCGTCCCCGGTGCCGCCTCCCGGTCCCCGCCGGGCAGCCGGAGCTGCAGCCCCCTTGGAAGCGAGTCGGTGCAGCCCCGGTATCCGCGGCATGTTGTTTTTGTTTTTTGGGGTTGTTTTTTGTCGAGGAAGTGAGGTAGGAGAGGCGCCAGATGAAGGCTGCTGACAAAGTCCAGCCTTACTTCTTTCTGGCCTCCTCACGGCTCCGGCTGCTCCTGCGGGAGCGGAGGCGGCTGCTCGCAGGCATCCCGAGGGGWAAGCTGCCCCTTAGCCGCCGTGGGAGACTCGACACCTCGCTGTGTCTCTTCACACGCGTGMGAGCTCTGCCTTTCCGCGCCTCTTGACAGCAGTGGCTGCCAGCTCATCGCTCAACTCAGCGCCACGTTCTGCAGGATGCATACATGCCTTTATTGTGATACTYTAATAATTCTGCCAATCTTTTGCTTTTTGTCTGCAGAATCAAGTTGCTATTGTAAAGACCCACTGCTTGAAACTTCCCCAAGCCCAGTTGCCAGACTCATGATGCTGCAAAAACGTCAATACATTCTGCCACCAAACTGCTCAGCTCTGCGTTTCAGTGTAATGACTCTGGCAGAGATGCTGTTCCAATAGGCACGCAGATCAGTTGCAAAAAAACAAAAAAAAAAGAGGGCAGCCTCGAATCAAGGTCTATAATTCATCTGGAATGAAGAAAAAAGTTCGAGAGTAAACTCCATTTATTTTGCAGGCTTAACTTCTTAATTTGTTCTCCGGCCGGTTGTAGGGGTGTGCACAAGAGCACAGTTGTCTCTGTCTGTGTTGGTAGCATAGTTGTACTTCTGCACACCTGTAATTTCTTTCTTTCAGTGGAAAGAGTTGCTCCCTTCACTCATGAGGCCAAGAGGAGAAAAAAAAAAACAAAGCACGTTTAAAATAGGAGCATCGCAGTAAATTCTGTAAATGACTCCTTCAGCTGAACATGTGTGAGAAGTGACAGTGTGCAAAAGTTTTATATTTGTATTTCAAAACAATAGCAAATGCAAATGCTCTAGAAAMAAGAGTTGTAGACCTGTTCAACTGCACTGCATATCTGTAGTCTGTCCTCATAGTTGCCTTTAGAAAGTAAATCTTGCTTTCACTCCATAAGAGCAGAAATCAAGAAGTCCAATTACCTTTTCATAAACCAGCTGGGAATAGAAGTAGCAGTTTGATGTTGTAACCATGTTTTCCATTTTGTGTCGGTTGCACACCCTTACCGCATGAACCACTGCGAAATTTAGAAATCTCTAAGTACTTAACATTATTTAGTGTATTTTGTAAAGAAGTGAAGCAATTTGCTCTTTCAGAAGAGCTATTTCACCTGCAAAATAAATACCCATGAATCATGAATTTACTGATGTTAGTGAAATTTCTTGCCTCCTTACTCCCCTGCCCTGTTTTTTTATTTTTTTCTTGGTTTATTTTTTCTTTTTTTTTTTTTTTTTTTGGTTGGACCTTAAGACAGGTCTAAGCATATTCAGCAGATTTTCAGGATATGGTCCACCTGCTGTGATAGAACTGCATTGATTGTTCCTCTTATGTGTAAATGAAAATGAGTATAAACAATAAAACGCTTGACTGTGTTCTCAAGAGTGGTAGCAATTGTGTGACTGAAAGGAGTATTTATTGGTTTACCTGCTTTCTCAGTATTGACTTTTTAGGTAACACTGATTTGATGAGTCACTCAAGAAGCAATTGCTGAAAGTTGAAAAGACAAGGTTCAATCAGTTGTCAGTTTTTTAACAGGCAGCTTTATTTTCATCGTAGTTAGGTATAATTCTTACTGTTTTCATGTAATGTCAGAATAAATGTTTGGCCTTTTTTCAGAAATATTTTTGTTACTCCTTTGAAAGCAAACAAAACTTGCTTTAGTGTTTGGTGGATACGGTCATCAATGTTCTTTTGAGGCTGTATGTATGTATTCTAGAGGGGGTCTGTTAAAGGACTGGAAAAATKGTACATGATTTATCTGCCTGCTATTCTTCAGAGAGTTATTTAAGTAATAAGGACTTACTTAACTGTACAGTAAAGAACATGACCCTCTGTGCTCCTGATGGTCTTAGGGAAAAGGAAGTCTGTAAGACACAAAGCAGTGGAAAGTAAACATTTTCAGTAATTTGAAGAAATACAAAAAGAATTGCCTTAAAATTGGATACTTCTAAAAAGGAGAACTACTATACTATGCTTCTAGAAAGTACCCTCTTAAATTATTAAAGACACATGTGCTAAGAGGAAATTTCTTAAATGTTATCTTATTTGATTGAAATGCCTGTAATAATTTTAAATTTAAGGAGCTTTTTGCATACATGGTGTGAAAAAAATCAAGGAAGATAATGTATACCAWTGGTTAACCAATTCTCATTTGTCATCTTCTGATCTTGTAGAATGAATTTTGTTTACACCAAATTCATTCTCAGTACGCTTTTTATATATGTGGAAATTGGATGATGGGATTTAGAGTGAGTTTTTCAGCATTTCCAGAGAGTTGATTTTTTTGTCAGTTTTACAAAGCTAGGGGGCTTGGAGAGCAGGGACATTSAGGAGTTGGTCTTCGTGTTCCTCACACTGGTGGAGTATACCTTCATCTTCAGCAGCTGGCAGCAAATACTCCCAGCTCCCTCTTGTGATGTGAGGATTTTGCTGAGAAGAAATTCTTCAATTCTTGAAATTCTTCAAGAAATTATCCTTCTAAGTTTATGCTGAGGCGCTGAAYCTTCTGCACAAGCAAACATTTTAGATAGCCACACTCACTGTTGGGAGGACAGTCGGTGTCGAAGCTGCCCTGAGTGACCTGGGGACAGAGAAGAGGCTGCCTTGAGCCCTGCTGAGGTAGAGGGTGGTTAAAGGCCTCGTGCTACTGGAGCAGCAGCATCTACTTCAGAAAACCATTCACAGGGGGATGGGTAGAGTGAGGACACGCTTCTGTTGGCAGTGAAAGAGAAGAAATGTAGGGCAAACATTGCTCAGTGCCAGAAAATATAAATATGTAAAGCATGTTCCAAGATTCACGTAGAGTGTTTTAGGGGGGGAAGAGTGTCCCGTCTGAGCTTTGCATCTCTGTGACTGACAGAGTGTGTCCTGGTTGAACCTAGATTTTAGAAGATGCTTAGGGATGTGSTGGTAAAGTTTTGACTCTCTGAAGAGGTTTGAGAATGTTGCTGTCCTGCTTCTCCACTCCTTTGCTGTGCCTGATCACTGCGCTCTGCCTCTGGGAGGATGGAGCAGCTGAAATTTTTATTAGTAGGAAAAGCTGTCCTTTCTGGCYGCCCTCTGTCTGTATTCCTGTGGAAATGGCTCTGTCAGTCCTGCCTCTGGGTGTTTTCTCACGGGAGCCTCTTCATGACCCTGCAGATAAACTCCAGAGCCTCAGCCCGTGCTGTTCAGTCTCATTACAGGAGCAGCATGCCTTTYTTTTATCTGTTTCTTGCCTTGGGTTCAGACACTCAAATGATGCTTTTGAGACAAATCTCTGCTGGGCACCGAGGTTTGACGTTGAACATACACTTGCAAACCTTGTGCTTCCWACATTTCATTGTAAGGGATATGTGTGTGATGGCATTGCTGGCTCCAGGTGCTGTGAGACGCATGACAGTTCAACAGCAGCTGCCATTGTGGAGCAGCTGTTTGCAGTCCCATAGCTGCACTATTTTCCTAGCATTCCTCAGTTTTAAGAGACATTTCTTGCTTTTTCAGTTAATAAAATACAGATCCCTTGCAATTAACCTTCATATGGCCATGCAGCAGCCAAGAAGTTCTACYATTTCTGCATGAATAGGAAAAAGAAAATGCCTTGACTAATGTGCCAAGTCTCAGTGTCATAAAAAGGATCTCAGCTAATTGTCTGGACATTTGCACCATATTCCCTGCCAGGGCATTCGAGGAAACTGGCCTGGCCTTGAGCCTCCAGCAGGACCGTGTAGAGTAGGGATGACTCCATTTGGAGCAGCTGATTTCCACCYTCCATTGCCCTTGCCTGCCAAGAGCCAACCTGCGTTCCATCAGGAGAGCACTCCCAAGTGCTTTCTGACTTGAAAATGCTGGTCCTGTGTTCTCTTGGTCAGAAAGGACTGGATATTGTCAGAAGTAAGCACTTTTACAAGAAAATCCAGATCAGTGTAAAGCTATTCTTTCTGGAAGCAAAGTGAAAATGACAAGCAGTAGTAACACAGGAGAAGAAACATTGTGGTTTGTAGCAGCAAATCAGGTTCAGCAGTGTGGCTGTGAGCAGTTGTGCAGGCAAACAGTAAAATTCCACTCAAAATGTAGCAGATTGAAGAACAGTTTTCTCCACTGAAGAGAGGCTGTAGCAAAGAAAGAGGTCGAAGTAATCCAAAACCTCCAAGCCTTGACCAGGGTGTAAGGAAAAAAACTGCTTCTCACAACCCCATCATACAGGTGAGCGGGAAGTTTCATAGAGATCTATGCTCAGAGACATGTAAGAAAATGGTATTTATGGAATATATGGTATATAATGGAATCAAGTAGATGCCAACTCCTTTTTGTGTGTTGGGAACCTTTTTGTCTTTAGAGGAACTAAACACATTTGAGATATATCTTTAAAAACCGCTCTATGTGAGTACACAATGATCAGTGTTCATAWTAAGAGTTTGTCACATTCCAGCAGTTAGTACCTAAAACACTGAAGCAGTTTTAGTGAACTCTTCTTCAGGAGTGAGTCTGGCTGATAACGAGCTTGAAACATTTAAGCACAGAATAATCATATAGAAAAGCAAGCAGAAAATGAGGCTTTTTAATCAATCACGTGTTAGTCTTGAAAGATGTAATATAACAGGCAATTCAATAGGTGAGGTGAGGAGGAGATTCACAGGATATCAAACTTACAATATAGAGATCAAAATCTCATACTGAGTCATTTTCAAGAGCTGGAGAAGGAAAATCTTTGCTATTCTTTTCAGAGATCAAACTAGCAGTTATCCTTATAAAGGAACAAGGCTTTTTTATTGTCTTTATACAAATATCACTTTGAAGGCTACAAACAGATGGAGTTCATGGCAGCAGGGCTTTCGCTGAGTAATCATATGTTCCATCTTTTAGGCTGAATGGTTGTAGAAAAATAGACATGAACAGGGGGTGATTATGTAAAACAACCCATTTTTGGTATTTCTTTCCTTATGCGGAACCAAGGCAAAAATTAGAACAACAGAAAAAAATAAGGTCTGGAAAATGTGGGCATTAATGATCTTACATCAGATTTCAGGAACATGTTTAGGGCTGAATGGGGCAAAAAGAAAAATCCAGAATTCAGAACAGTGAAAACTAAATTAGAAGTTTCCTTCCATCCAGATACTTCAAGGGTCCCACTTTGTTAATATTACTTGTATAAAAAAGATTTCTAAAAATGTTGATATCCCCAAATTTGTTCAAATTAATTTTTTTTTAATACATTCATATCTGCTTTTATATTAAGGTGTATACTTCCCAAGCTCATCCACTCTTTTTTTGTGTCGATTTCAAATTTTGATTAATTCTCTTTCCTACCTGTATGCTGTGTTTAGATACCAAACAGCCCTCCTTTACACAGGGCCATTCCCTTTTATCCATTTATCCCTTGTCATGTCATTTGTTCCTGAATTTGTTCCTCTGCAAATGGTCTTGAGCCCTCCCATTCCCCACCTTTGGATTCTCCACCAAACATCCCACTCCAAATCTTGTGTTATCCCCAAATGCCTTTCCCTTGTGTCACATAATGTATCCCATACCCAYAGGTTAGATCTCCTCCAGTCCTAAAAGTGCTCCTGTTGGCTCCTTGTGATGGGGTTTATGCCTGGACACAGGGTTTGTGTCCCTCAGAACCATCTGCCACTGTGCCCCTGTGCTCTTCTGGGCTTGTGGAGATGGACCTTTGATGGCCCTTTGTCCCCTCCATGATGGGTCTGGGAGGAGCTGAGGGAGGGTATTTGGCTTCCCTCACCTGCCCTTATCCCTGTAGGAGTAATGCAGATGAACTTTTTAACATGCAGCCTAACATTTTATCTCTTTCAGGAAAAAAAATAGAAGGAAAATTGCTGGCAGCCACTGTTCCAGATGTCAGAAGACCAAATGTCTAATTTAATTTGAACTAATTAGGATGTCAGAAACTACCTACCAAGACATAAGCAAGAGCATTAAAAAAATCTCATATGAAGTCTTCATGTTGAACGAATTTATGGACACCATAGGCAAAGTGTGATTATTTAGATTTCCACTAAACAATCTTCAGCAGCTCACACATGAGTATTTCAGAGCTATTATCTGTTTTGGGATCTTGAAGAATAATGGTCTTGGTCAGGTGTCAGGTCAGAACCAGATTTTTCATCTCACAGGTTTACATCTTACATGTCAGACAGATAGATCTGAAGTGCCTTTGTACAGGGGTCTGTACTTTGATCCACACTAATGGAAAAGATGATAGAAGGAGTCATCCTGATRAGTTAATCAGTCTCTTTCATTTATATGTACTTGTGCTTTGGCCAAAATTTTAGCAGGAGGCACCATTATTTTCTTTTGAGATTGCCGGTAGGGCAATGGTCAAGTACTGGTGCCTGGGCAATGTTCTCACATATTAMATATACTTCTGAGCAATATATTTACATGCAGCTAAAACCAGAAACCAATAACTTCCCTGCTTTCAAATCAGAGTAAGAGATGTGATCTCAAGTGTGTGATCTGGGGCCTTGTAGGAACCCTCGGGAGCAGCATTGTCCTCCTCTTGGACAACAGCCAAGTCCCACAGATGGATATGAGACATAGAATATTCAGCATTTGCACTAGAGAGGTTTGGAAAATCAGTGAACAAAGGCAAGTGATGCTGAGAAGGGCAAAATAATGTAACATAGGGGAAAAAAATTCCACTTACGAATGCACAATGAAGTCATGAAGACTTTTTTTTAGCCTAGGAACACTTTTCTGTGAAAACAACTGCAATCATAAGAGCAAACAAAAGGCTGCATAGAGGAAACAAGGCAGAAGACAGCATTGCTTCAACTTGTAAATTCTGTGTCCTGTATCCTGCATGCTACAGGAAAGTCAAACCTGCCTCGGAAAGTATATTGTGGAATAGAAAATATTCAGGAAAACACAGAATGTCATCAGGGTGTGCCTGAAGCTTCTTTTGGACACAAGGATTCTCCTACTCCAGGTACCAAGATAGCTGAGACAGTGTTTGATGCTTCCTCTTTGTGCCATGCAAGGACAACTCAACAGCACAGCAAGGGGAAGCACCTTCAGAGTACAACCATTGTTACAGGAAATTACACATTTCTAAGTGCAGTTCTGCTCAGTCTGATTCCACCTGTCTGAAAATCCCGAGGAAGGAAGCATTTCTGGTGCTCTTCTTGTCTCAAGTTGTTCTGATGATTCCCCAGCCCATCCTGCTCTGCTTMTGCATTAGGTGGAGAGGAATTAAGACACTTGACTGTTCTGACAGTTTTCTGGCCATGACTTCTCTGTTATATGTTAAGTTGCAGCCAAAAAAATGGACACTGGATGGTACAATAATGATTGCATTCAAAGGAAGCATCACCTTAGGTTTTGCAGAGTGGGCACCCAATGAATGAGGTTTCTGCACTGGTAGACTGCTTTGAAAATCCAGGGCCCAGTTCCCGATACTCTGGATTA